AAGCAAATAATTGAAAAGTTAGGCTGCCTTTCAGTTTGCAATGTCTAGTCACATGTGCCGGAGTTCCAGGAAGTAAAGCAAGATATATTAAGCTGCTCTTAGTAAACATGGCCACTGTGATAAGACTGGGGAGGAAAAGAGAAATAAGGAATGCAAAGAATACAAAGCCGGCAATTATCTAGAAGTATCTGTTTGTAGATTGTCATTACTAAACGTTTCGAAAGGTGCCTTTGTTGTTATTTTAAAGATCTGGGTAACGATCCTCTTTAAGAAGAATTATATCAATCAAGCTGCAATATTATCTTAGAATCTGTCTTGCTGTTCCTGTTTAGTTTTGTCTAGTTGTGTCAAATAATTAATACATGTCTTCAATAGATTTTTTTTTTGAAGCCCGTGGACGTGCATCATAAAACAAACTTCCCCCTGTGAACAAAAAAAGTGAACCGTGAAATCACAGCACACAAAAACGTGCACAAGGGTGCTTGGTCCTTCAATAAAGAAGGGACCTCGAATTCCCGACCCCCCGGGGCGCAAGGCTCCTGACAGGGGTTGAGATACTTTGGTCCACCAGCCCGGAGACTGGCGGACCCCGATCCTTCGGGGACCTGCCGAGACAGGTCCCACCCAGTACTAGGTAGGGAGCTCTCCCGAAGAGAGACTCCCTGGTTCGGGAGAAGGCAGAGAACCCTATATTAGGGCACAGAACCTCCTCCCCAGCATCGGGAATAGGCCCCGAAGGAACCTGCACCCTAAGCAATCTGTGGGTCAATAAGCAAAAATAAAAAAGTGCCAATCGTGCATGAGGTGCAATAAATAAAGGAATAGTGCCAGTGCACCACGCTGACAGGCCCTAGGGGCCGGGTGCTAAAAAATTGCCCCGGACTAGCCATAAGGCCTGTCCAAGAGGCGTTGTGCAGAAATTGCAAGGTGGTGTGTGACCAAGTGCACAGTGAGTCAAAGTGGGTCTCCCACACCCAAGTGACTTTCTGAGCACCCCTGGGACGCCACCCCCAGGGGGCACAACACCACGGGCTCTGCCGCCTCCCAACCCTCTAGCCTCGACCAAGCTTCGCAGCCATTCCCATCAGAAGGTAGTGCCGTCAGGGGTCCATCCCTACCACCGGTGACAAGCCCAGCATCACTGGGCCAGAATCTAACCAGGAGGGACTGTACCCCATCTGACACCCACCAATTACGCCGGTAAATACTAAGCCACCATCCTAATCACCTCGAGAAGGAGTGGTGTCGTTCTTCCACCGGCAACTGATAAAGAACAGATACTACACTTGATCTTAGCCAAAGTCTTCAATAGATGCCAACTGTCCCGGATTTGCCCAGACAGTCCTGCACCTCGGACCTGTGTCCTCATGATGCCATGTACAAGGAGCATCACCCTTATCTGAGTTACTGAGAATGCATAGTAACTCCAAAAAGGGTATCAACGGAGAGGATTATGGCTGAAAGTGGGCAGTGCCCACATATTAAGAGGTGGGACTGTGATAGAAAGTGAAGCAAAACAAATGGCAAACGCACTCATCACTTCGTCACCAGCTTTATAGCAGGGTGCACATGGAAGGGCTTTATACAATACAACAGCAACAAGTTTCCCAGCACACTCACCAGCCAGCATGCAAAAAAAAAACAACCTGTTTAACCTTTAAGGTTAAAAACAGAGGTTTTAGATACACGTCTTCTGCAGAAAATGTGAAAGCCGCGCCAAGGCACCTCTTATAGTGCGGTCCTAACTCTAAACTATGAGAGTCTCCATCTTGGAGCACATGTGGCAAAAGATAAAATTGGGTGCAGGTCTGTCAGGAGGAAGCCCAACCTCCTTAAAAAGGCACAGGAACGCACAAGAGACCCCCCATGCATCACTGCACCAAATCAGTCAAGCAAAACAAATGGCAAACGCACTCATCAATTTCTCACCAGCTTTACAGCAAGGTGCGCATGGAAGGGTCTAATACAGTACAAACAGCAAAAAGTTTCCCAGCACACTCACCAGCCAGAATGCTGGCTGGTGAGTGTGCTGGGAAAATTTGTGCTGTTGTGATAGAAAGTGGGTGCAGTGTGGGTGTGACCCATAAAGTGGGAATGTCAAATGTAGGCCGTTGCCAGGGGTGACGGTGTCCCGGGGACTGGGACTAACATGTTGGCATGGATGGTCTTCCATAGTATTTTGGCTTTTTTAAAAATATATTTTTTTACATATTACTTCAAGCCAAACTGTCCAGCAGTGCTGCATGTTTTTTTTCTTAAAACAAAATCTAATACACATAAATCAATAGTGACTGTTGCAAGCTACAGAGCTTATCTCAATAGGAAAATGCAGCTTGCTTTCAGGTACATTCAGCCAGCATTTGACATCAGTCTGAGCTGCTTCTTATGTTATTCACAATTCATTCACAGGTGCAACTGACATGCAGCTGACATCCTCCGAGCTGCTTTGGCATCTTCATTGACTTGTATCTGTAGAAAAGCAAGCTTTGATGCAAACAAAAGCCAGGCAACAGAGACTCCAAATTCATTCCTACCCGTCATTATAATAAAGAATGGATATCACTATCTACACTCCATAATGCTCCCTCCCCAAGGTTACTCTATACTGTGGCCTGCATTTTACAGCCCATTCAGTAAACGCAGTCTATGGTGTGGAGCATGCGGTGTCCTATGGAGTCTCTGTTCTTAACAATGCACAAAGAACTCAGTGACAGGGAAAGGCCATACTGCTGCATTTTGAATGAACCCCTTTTTTTGGACGTTTGGTCTACATGTAAAGATGAAGTAAAACATTAATATGAGCATGGGGGGAAAGGGAAATATATGAAATAATATTATTGCATATACTGTCAGAATAAAATAGCTTGTGATTTCATGGGCAGGCTCTACTTCCAGCTTAGTAGCACAGCACAATGTTGTGACATGCTGAGCTTATTATCCCATTGCAAGTCTGTCTGAAAGCACAGGGCCATTAAAAGTCTCTAATGAGGAGAAACACCCACAAAATGTCTGTGAATGTTCTCATTCATCCAGGTCATGGTAGATCTGTAATAGATAAGTCAAGGCAACCGGACTTGCTGCTAAAACTTTGTTTTAGCTTAATTAGATATTAAGCTGCTGAGAGGGATTCTGAAATAATGATCTAATGTAAAATGCAGAATTCTTATCAACGGCATTGGAATGTGTTCCTGCACCTAGGTGAAACACCCACATGATCTAATCTCACTCTCTTCCCACAGACTGATCGCTCGGCAGACCTCCTAGAAAAAATTAACTGATTTGATCAATAAATGGAGCAAGTTCAATTACTATATTTTCTGTCATGTTTTACAAATATATATATATATATCTTTTTAACTACCTCCCGGCCGGCCATTGTGTATGATGTATATTACATCACTTCGGCATTCTTGTGTCACTCTCCAGCTTCAGAAGCTGGAGAGAAGCTGATGAAGCAGAACTCTGCTTCATCAGCTTCTTCAGGGGGGTCCTAGGTGACATTAGGGGGTCTTGGAGACCCCTGATGTCTCCATAAAGAGGACCTGTCACATCTTTTGCTGTCACATACTGGGGTTTCTTAGCCCCCTCTGTGATAGCAATAAAGTTTTTTTTAAGAATTAAAAAAAAAAAAAAAATTTCCCCACCCATACATACACACATGTAAACATGCATCACGTGCGCATACCAGCGAAAACGACGATTGCGCCCATTACGCCGCACATGTTACATATCGTCGCGAACGTCGCAGTGAGATCAATAGTTCAAGGGCCATTAAACACTGATAACACGAAACTGATGAACTGTAAAAGCGTCGCCTATGGTCAATTTTGGGTATGCTAGTTTTTTTGCGATTTCGCGTGTGTGCGCAATTTTTAAGATTGACATGTTTGGTGTCTATTTACCCGACAGGACCCTGTCTATTATATTTTACCAAAAAATTGGGGTAATAATAAATGTTTCCTAACGATGTAAAAAAAAAAGAAAAGAAATTTCAGTAGTTTTTCCTGAATACAGTAAAAAATAAATCCCCCAGTGGTGTTTAAATACCACCAAAAGAAAGCTCTATCTGTCCCCAAAAACGTTAAAAATGTATACGAGTACAGCGTTGCATGACGGAATAAATGTCAAAGTAATGCAGCGCTGAATACTGAAAAATGGCCTGGCCAGGAAGGGGGTCTACACACCTGGTCTTCAAGCGGTTAATGGGGAATAAAAGGAGAAAACACACATACCTTCATCAACAAACCTTTTTCCATAACACTCTAGACAGTGCTGGATCATCTCTCTAAAAAAAAGAATATATAGACATTAAATACTAGGGAAGCAACTCTGGCTGAACATGTCCAATGTCCATATACATTACTAAGTTCTCACTCTGGCTCCAGAGGTCTTAGTTCCTGTAGGCACACTGTCAGTGGTATGCGGCTGAATGACCAGGACTCCGAGTCCATTAACTGAGTAATGTGATTGAGAAGCTTCATTTCATAGTCAAAGTCCAGAAGCCTCCAGAATCCTGAAATAAATACAAATGGTAAAGTATAAGTATGGCACCAAAATATAAGAGAGATAGAGGGAGGAGAAAGGGAATGATGGCGTGTATTCATATGTGAACAGGAATAATTTACTATATAGGCTCATAGAGACATGCTCACCTTGCCTATTCTGGTAAAGTTGACAAAGTCATTGTAAAGGGATCCCCTGACCCCCATATACTCCTCTGATATTCCGGGCACATCGTGGCAGGTGACTGCAGTGGTACCAGGGCCATCAGGGTGGAGAGGATATACATATCATGGCGAGAGACCAAGCTGGATGGGGAGATGGCTTGCAGCTGCGAGTTGAGACAGACATGGATGCTGGCAGATGGGGATGGGGGTTATTATTGCTCCCACCGACACCAATGTTGTGGCTTAAAGTGGACCTTCACCCATTTCTTTAAAATAACACCTTTAGAAATGTTTAATAATGACAATCTACAAACAAATACTTCTAGATAACTGCTGGCTTTGTATACCTTATTTCTCTTCTCCTTCCCATTCTTCTCACAGTGGCCATGTTTACTAAGGGCAGGTTATTAGATCTCCTTTTACTTCCTGGATTTCTGGCACATGTGACTAGGGCATGTGGCCATTCACATCATCTCAGGGGAGGAAAATGCCTTTCAATGAAATTATATTTCCCACCAATGCTCTGCTGATGTAGCCTTCCCAGTGTGCAATGCTTTGGCAAACTCAACTAATTTTTCCCTTGCAAAGCAGGAAGTGAATGCTCTGCAAGTGTATATATTTCACAATCACATCATTTTAAACCTGACGTGTCTATGTTATTATTAATCATCATACATAGAGGGATGCATTGGTAGAATTATAATTTTGAGTGTAAAGGTCTGCTTTTAATACTCCCATAATACAAGCCATACACTCAATTTTCTAGGCATGCCTCCAAATGTTCCACGAATGGCACGATATGCACACCACTTTGCTTGGCACATTGTTCTGCTTCACACCTTGAAGGCTGTTGGAAACGAGCACATGGTATTTTGTGGTTGTGGCTACGAATGGGGACATGAGATTTTGTGGGTGTGGTCAGAAAGCTGTCCCCGGATTTCATTTTGTAAATCTGGTAACTTTAGTGTACCATGCGGGTACGAGAGGTCAGACCATATTTCAGAAAGAAATCTGTAGCAAACATTGTTATGACTCGATTCACAAGACACAAAACATTACCGTTTATTTGGCGCGCATGTATGACTTTCAGGTGGTCCATTAATTCTACAGAGCTTGCTTGAATCTGGCTCAGTAGGTCTTCTGTTGTGTACTGAAACCAAACAGGACAAACATAGTTGTTAGCTGGTCAAACCAAAACCATCCCAAACAGTTTTCTATGCGCAATTCCTATTTATAGCACTCTGCTTTGTGAAAACGCAAACAGCGAACCACTCCATCCGCTTTTCACAATTCCACTGATTTTGCTTCTCACTTATTTTAAGTGCCAATAGCCTAGTACCTGAAATGTATTACAGATATTTATATAGCGACGACAATTTACGGAGCACTTTCACACCAGGCCTTGCCCTCAAGGAGCTTACAATCTAAGGTCCCTATCCCACATGCATACAAAACAGGAGCAAGTTAACCAGCATGTCTTTAGCATGTGGGAGGAAACTTGAGTACCCGGAGAAAATCTACAGAAGAACATACAAACTCCTTGCAGATAGTGTCCTGACCAGGATTCAAACCAGGGAACCCCAGTGCTGCAGAAGTGCCAACCACTAAGCCACTGTGCTGCACTCAAGTGTGCTGCATGCAAATGAGTGCTAGCAAGAAACATGCTGATCAGAGGAGGAAGAAGGTGACCATGGAGAAACTCATCAGTCTGCTGCTGCAACAAACATTCTCAGGTGAACAAAAAAAACAAAAGAAAGTGTCATCATTTCACAAGCATTTATAACCGCCGTTGCTTATTTTGCAAGAATAAAACATGTCAGCCATATTGATCCTCACCAGCTCTGTGTTCTGGCTTGTGTCCTTCTCGTTCTCCGGTCCCTCATAGGGATTTTCTAACAAAAGTTTCTTCAGCTTCTTTAGTTTGGGCCGACATCTCCGCAGCTCCCAGTAGTGATTAGAGAATCCGGCAATCTGCAGGACACAAAAGAGTTACCCAATAGTCAAGTTTTACAAAAGGTGCCCACAAGCATAAAAGGCAATCAGCCCATAACTGTGATATAAACATGTAGTCACACCAGCCGAGAATGCTTGGTTATACACTGTGCACACAGGTATGATCTCTGAAAAACAAAATCATCTCAGCAATAGAAAAAGTTAAATAAGCCTCTGATGGGTAGAAGAGACCTAGCCTTACCTCACACATACTGACACTGAGCGATGGCTGGTCGCTGGGAAGCTGCTCGGGGGTTCTGCAGTCCGGGATGAACAGCAGCAAATTGGAGGTGTCGGCAATTTTTAGGTCATACGTTTTGTCTTGGCTACAAAGGACAGCGTGATCGCTCTTGTCTCCTCGGATCACCAAGCTTGGAGGATAAAATAAAAAAAGTTTTAAAAAAAGTATAGAGCCCAATCCGACTTGTAAGGTGAAGACAAGTAAAGGGTCAGTCCACCAAAAACAAATAGATCAGTTTGCTTAAAGAAGAACTCCAGGAAAAAAATGCATTAACCCTTGCAATGAGGCTACTCCCACAGTGCAAGGGTTAAGTGCTCGTTTTTGTCTATGTTGACTCACTACCAGAACTTTTTATGAATCTACGGAACATCACAATATTCATGCGAGTCGTATATATCTGATCTGTTTATTATATATTTTGTTAGTCCAATAAGAAAGGTATCATTGCACACTGCAATACTAGGTTTTTGGTTTTTTTGACGTCTTGAAAAATAAAGTTAGACGCACCCAAAGCTCTGAGCTGGACAGCTGTCACAGCGCTCCCTCCAGCCTCTCTCCTCTCTTATGCTGCAGCATTGGAATGTTCCTCAGTGCCCTCCTCATGTCTATACGCTGTGTATAGAATGTGACGACTCAAGAACCTTAGACCACTGTAGTGGAGGGGGAAGGGAGGCTGCAACAGGCAGATGGGGATATCTGGGTAAAGCCAGGATAGCAGATTTGTATGGCCCAGTTTCCGGTGTAGTGCTGAGGTTCTTACTCTAGGGGGAAGTATTGAGAGTGCTGGAGGCTTAGAAGTAACAAGCCCAGCTGCAGAAAGCTGGCTCATTAGGGCCTCCATAAGATATCCCAGCCTTCTAAAGCTGGCCATAGACCTTACAACCATCGCAGGACTTTAGTCTTGCGATGGTTGTAAGGTAATTAAAAAAATGTACGATCTGCCCATCTTGGACAGGCAGATCGTACTTGCGATGATCGCAAGCCCAACCCGCTGAGGGGCGGGCTTCCGATGACTGCAATGCTGAACGGGCAGTGTGCGCTAGCGCACACCGACCCGTTCGGCATTTGTCTTACGAGCATGACACAAACCCGCCGACAATCGTACGAATCTCGGCGGGTTTTCGAACATGCTTGTAAGACAAAAGTCCTGCGACCTTACAGTAGCAGAGGTTGCACGCCTTCCATACACCTTGCGATTATCGTACGATCACGGGATTTCCTGCGATTATCGTACGATAATCGCAAGGTGTATGAGCACCTCAAGTGAGGGGGTCCACCTGGGAGACAGAGGAGGTCTCTGTGCAAGGGTCTGGAGGGCTCCACCCTGGAACCAGCCTGTGTGGCAATACACCTTTGTGGTGAGGACCAGCCTGTGCAACTGTGAGAGAAACAGTTGGGATTATTCTTGGAAACAAACAAAGACGACCAGTGGGTCAAAGAGGCAAAACACTGAAGGTAAAAAGCCAAGAAGCTTTATCTCTGTTTTCATTGCCAGTACTGTGGGTACTTTTTGTTTGGAAACCCCTGCGATGGAAAACCGGTGTGGACTTTTTTGAGTTTGAATCAATAAAAGTGGGCAAAGTAGCCCTTAAAAAGAAGTAAGCGAGTGGAAGTGTCCTTATAATGCGCTACCATTTGGAGCTTAAAGTGACATTAAACCCTCAGATTTTTTTTAACATAAAACAATACTGTAATGTGTGCCTTACTGTAATACATGGTTGTGTCTCATTTCTCTTTGCTGCTCTTCCTTTTAAATCTGTATCTGTTCTCATGCTCAGGAATGGATACACGGTGTCTGTGTATAGGCTTGAAACCTGAGCCAGCACTACAGGAAGAGGCCCTGAGCTGAAAAGGGAAGTTCTTCCCAAGCATGAGAAGACATGGGGATTTAAAAGGAAGAGCAGCAAAGAGAAGGGAAACAACCATGGATTACAGTAAGGCACACATTACAGTATTGGTTTATGTTAACAAATCTGAGGGTTAAATGTCACTTTAATTCTCACATTATATATTCTAGCACCTAGGCAAAACAAGCACTTAAACCCTCAGCGAAGATGAGGAGAGACACAAGGTAAGTCTATGGAGGAGCGTGCACCTGCACAGACACCGTGGGACATCAGAGAAGAGGACGACAGAGGAGTCAGCGCTGGATCGGAGACCCGCACCAGCGCTGGAGGGACAGATGAAAAGAACAGGAAAGAAGATTGAATCAAGAGGCATGATTTAAGGCAAGTCCTTACAGCAGGATTGGGAAGGGGAAGAAAAATTCTGACTTTAATGTCACTTTAACCCTTGCAGTGCGGAGTTAATTAAAGTTTTGCCCAGAGTCCTTCCTTCTTTAGGCACTCAACTGACACTTCCTTAAAATCCATGCCTATATTTTGTATAAGCATGTGACCTGCTTGACACACATGAAATATGAGTCTACCAGAGCTGCAGATAGGAGACTTTTGCAAGCTCACCCCCTCCTTAGCTGAAGTCTCTGATGGTCTGCAAACATTATCTGTGACCCTCCTACCTGCCTCCAGACTCGACCTCCTTACATAGCGTCTCATCCAGTTCCATCAGACAATAATCCCCGGAGGTGAAGGTATTGCTGAAGGTCAGGCACTGGGCAGTGCTGCGCAGATCCTCCACATTCAGTTTCGCAATCTGCAGGGTGGCCTCCATTTCCTCCGGAGACCGACTCATTGTGAATAAGAGAAATCGTTGCTGATCGCACCAAATCCAGAAAGCCGAGGAGGGCAAAGGCAAGTTTTTTTTAGTCGCTGAGTGGGTGAAAAAAAAAAAAAAAAAGAGAGAAAACACATTACAGAGAGAAAATCTGAGGATGCGCACTACGCAGAATATAGAAGCCGAGTTCCGGCCTTATAAGAGACACCCCATTAGGGAACAAACTAATCTGAAGAATTATGAGGGAGTGCAGTCCAAAGTATGAAAGTAGAATTATGGGGACAGTGAAATGCACTCCTTCCTATAATTAGAGCCGGCGTGTAACACTGAAGCTGTCACATATCGGCTGTATTGATCAAGAACTGAGCGATCACAAACTGCTGATCAATCAATGAACAATCTTCTCCCTAGAGAGAGCGGTGACTCCTCCTCTCTCTGTTCCTCCAGCGCTCATTGGAGGAACAGACAGGGGAGGGGGCGGGCACAGCTGGCTCTAGAGAGGCAGAGCCAGCTGTCATCAGGTAGTGGGGTTGATCTAAACCAGTGGTTCTCAACTTGTGTAATCTTAGGACCAACATTTGTCCTCGGTCATTAAGTCGCACTGCAATGGAACGCACGGCAGTGTGGGCTGCTGTTCTGTGATGGAGCTCCATCCATATGTGGCTTGCTTATACAGCTCCCATACGCGCCTGTAGAGGTGCCGGGAGCCAGAATGTGATGTTACTCTGGTCCAGGTACCTCTATAGGACAAGCGTGGGAGCTATAAGCAATACATGTATGGATGGAGCTCCCTCGCTGCCATACCCCCATCCCACCCCACCTCTGAAGAGCCTCTCACCTAGAAAAGTGGAAGTGAACACCGGGTCGCGACCCACTTGTGGGTCACGATCCACCAGTTGAGAACCCAGGATCTAAATAATATTGTCGGGATCTTCTCTGGCTGCAGCGCTGCTCTGCCAGCATATAGCAGGTAGTTGCCCTCTAGATGCTGAGTTTTGGGTCACAGGAGGACATTAGTAAATATATTGCTGTGACCCTAAAGAGGACTAAAGCAAAAAAAAGGTTTGGTCATAGTTCTCTTTCAAAGCATAGCTAAACCTAAAAACAGACATATGATTCATGTGGCAGCTGACCAGTCCTTACCTGTGCTGGCCGCATTGGTTTTCACTTTTCAGATGAAGAACATTTTCGGCGAGTACAAAAAATACCTCCACATCTAAGGACTGGTGAGCTGCAATAGATGATAGATATTAATTATTATAGATTATAATATTAGATGTTTCAGGGTTTAGATAGGCTGTAAAATGTCTGTTGTGTGGTCACTGATATAAAATTTCCGTCATGTCCTTAATTGAGTCTGGGGCCCTATAGGCAACATTTTCCCTTATACTTCCTGTCCCCCGTGACACCTGTACAAGACATGGGAGGGACAGTTGTCACCAGGGCAGGAATAAAATATTTATCAGTGATATGATGAGATGGGAGGAGGTGATGAAAATGTGTGTAAGGCCCATTCATGCAATGGGCTGACAAAAAATAGTGCATGCAACATTTTGGAGCTGAGCAACACACATCTGTTGCAAGGTGCGTCGGGGTGCCATTGCAAATAAATGGGACCGCATAGCACCAATGTATTCAAGGCACATTGCCACATGGTGAACAGAATTGAATGCAGTGTATACATACCGATCTCTGATATCCCTCCTATACATTACTATGCAGTGCAGCACTATAAGAGCACAGTGCAGTCTACAGACACCAGTGTTATCCTATGCAAGGCTACACGAATACATTATATGAATGTACAGTACATACACACCCGGGGGGGAGGGGACCGGAGCCGGTACAGACACTTCACGGCTCAATGCAGCAGCCAATGGTGTAGGCGCGATGCATTCTGGGAGGAGAAACTTGTCAGCGCGCGCGGTAAACTTTCATTCAGGAGCATGGGGATGGTCATGTGACGATAAGAGTGTCATGTGACATTGAGAGTGCCATGTGACCTGAGCTCACTCAGCTGTCAGAGTGCGTGGGAGCTGTAGGGCTTAGCGCAGCAGCATTCAATGGTGCGCGTTGCATTCTGGGAGGAGAAACTTGTCAGGGCAGCTAAACTTTGTGTCCTGAGTGATGATTACATGAACAGCAGAGTCCCAGCACGTCGTGACTTGAGCTCAGCCGTCAGAGTAGTAGCAGTGAGAACGGTGTAAGGGGAGTGATGGGAATGCTGAGACTTGTAGTCCTGTAGTAGAAATAGTATGGGAGTTCAGGTGTGTGACGGAGAGGGCTCATGTGTAATAGTGTGCTTAGACCTAGCGTATGCATGGAGGCTTTATTTACTAGATGCGAGGGGGCCGTATACAGCAGGGGTGGTAACTCCAGCCCTCCAGCTGCTGATAGGAGACTTTTATAACCGACCTGTGTTGGTCCGACCCCCAACAAGCTTTGGGTGTCGGACCAACTTCCTTCATCTTCAGAACTTTTCATTTAAACGGTAGGACTAAAAAATTATCCCTGGCTACTATACCATCCCCATCATTTTAAATGAGAGCGCTGAAGAGGCGAAAGCACACCTGGCCCCCCGAAACACATTGGCTGTGTTGTATGTTTTGTTTGTTTTTTGTCACCAACTAGTTTTACTTTAGGACATTTTGGACATTCGCTTTGGTGCTATTTTTAGACTGTTCTCACTAAGCAAAGGACTTCAGGTAAGTGTTGTGCTCATTTGATGTGGAGACAGGTCACCGGCACTCCAAATGCAAAGAAAGTATTGTTTATGACAAAAACGTCTCACAGGTCACAATTGCCAACGTTTTGAGGCTGCTCAGGGTCTCTTATTCAAGACAATACAGTTACAAAGTGGTCACTATGTCTCCTTGATGAAGGGACCCTGCAGGCTCCAAAATGTTGGCAAGTTTGACCTATCTGACATTTCCGTCACCCTAGGCTCAGTATACTGAGACACCGCAGTATACTGCGAGCTGCTGCTCGCGGTATACTAAAGACGCCGCAGCTGAAGCGGATCCCGAAAATTATGTCTGAATCCGACCAGCTGCGTGACTGACAGCTGGCTCTGCCTAGGCAAAGCCAGCTGTACCCCCCCTCCCCCATCCGTTCCGCCAGTCAGCGCTGGTGGGGAGGGGGGAATCCAGCCCCTCCCCTGTCACGGCAGACAACCGTGACAGGATCGAGAGGTGAGCGAACGCCGGTATGTGTTCACTCACCTCCCGATCTACTGAGCTGACCTGTGACAGTCTCATTGTCACAGGTCGGCTAGAACTATGAGGTGAGTGAAAAGCACTCACCTCATAGTTCTCCTTTAATGCGTTCTTTGTATTTGGAGTGCTGGAGATCTTCAAATCTCTGAGGTTCTGCACGGCGCCATTTGTGCCGGTCACTTTGAGCACCTATCCTGTTTACATCGCTGTATGCAGCAGACATCTTTAACATTATATTGTGCTCATTTGAGACCCCCGCACCAGTTAAACAGATATAGGAGACATGCAAAGGTCTGAGTCTCTTCTATCAAAACATATGCACAGTTACCTGGCGTGAAAAAAATACGGCAGTGCCCATCCTCTGCTTCTGAAGATATTGATTGCCTGGCTTTCATGTTGATCCTCTGGTTTCGAAACTCTGAATCACTGTGCACACAATCTATCCATAACTGTTTTCTAAAACAGTATCAGTTTAATTTGCCCTAGAAATCTGCCTTCTGCTAACTTGGTAAGTGTCTCTAGTTATATTCTACAGCAGACAAGGTAGACTGCAATGTTATGTGATAGTCTGCAGGTGGCGCTAGTGTAGTGTTTGAGAATTGTCATCAATCCTATCGCTTCAATGTAGCAGAGTGGAGCCTTCTTAGTACAAGGTATTCACATGTCTCATTGAATCACATATCCCAAAACTAAAAGGATTCATTGTAATTTCAGGACATGCGGATCATTCCTTTATACCCCAATCAGGGTCAGGACAAGGTGCTTCAGCACCCAAGGCGAAACGGCCAAAGTGCAAAATTTTAATTAAATGCTCCTGTGTCATGTCCTACCTTAGGGCCATGCATTGCCTCACTGCAAAACTCCTATCCAGGTGATCCCCTCCGTCACTATATACTGCAGGACGCACCTGTGTGCCCCCAAAGCAGAAGGAACAAGCCCGCGGTTCGTTCAAACGCTGCACATGCACAATAAGCTCAGCATCTGCTGATGCAGAGGGGAAGGTAGCGCAGTGCGCATGTTGTCTCTCCCCTCCAGAGGTGGTGGCGACTGCAGCTTGCTCAAACTGTGCATGCGGTAAGGTAAGTAAAAACTCAATTCAATTCATCACCACACAGCTACCTCCTCATGTATCACTTGCCTCTCCCTTTTAGATTGTAAGCCCTCAGGGGCAGGGCCCCCCTTACCATCTTGTCTGGAATTGTATTGTAACTGTAATGTCTTCCTTATATTGTAAAGCGCTGTTGGCACAATATAAATCCTGTATAATAATAATAATGCCCTCGCCACCATTGGAGGAGAAAAGGAAGGGCCCATATTGTCATCAGACGGGCCAGAGAGGTTAAAAACTCAAACAAAACAAATTGGATAGTGAATACTATATACAGAGTTTATTATTCTACTTCCCTGCTTAACAGGATCAGATATGATACAAATACAGAGTCACATTTTAAGTCTTAAAATCAGTCCAGGTATTGGTAAGTGCTGGATGACAAATGTCCCTTTGGTGTCTTATGTCTATTGTTATTTTTTTTAGAGGCGCACCGAAATGGGAATTTCAAAACCAAAATAAAAAAAACATTAGGCCGAAAATGTTTTTTATTTAAATGTTTTCAATTTGTTTTAATTTTTTATAAACTTTTTAATTTTTTATATTTATTTTTATTCATTTTTTATTAAATATTTTTATTTTTTACTGTACTTTCACTGATCGCTGAGTGTTTGCACTTGCTCTCCTTCCTGACAGCTGTCACAGGAGGCTGGGCAAGCGGAGCAGGGAGGAGAGCTCAGCCTCCTGTGACAGCGCGGGCTGTCTCTGTCCCCACACC